TTCATATTCATATTCATATTCATGTTCATATTCATATTCATATATATACTCATATTCATATTCATATTCATACTCATATTCATAATCATATTCATATTCATAATCATATTCATATTCATATTCATATTCATATTCATATTCGTATTCATATTCATATTCATATTCGTAATCTATTTATACTTCTACTCAACACAAATTCATATTTATCTTCATATATATGTATTTTCTTACACGTTCAAACTCATATTCATATTGCTCATGTTGTTCATATTTAATTCGCACTCATACTTACACTAATGTCTCTACTCTAATTCGTATTCATATTTAACTTTATTTCGAATTCTTATTCAGGTTCATATTTATAGTTAGCCTAATATTCATTTTCTAATTATTATTCACATTCATATTCATATACACACGCTTACTCCCACACATATTCATGCTTGTTCAAATTCATATTTCTTTTCATATTCACATTTATACTCACATTCACATTCACACCCACTCACACACTCACGCTTCAATCCGTATTCACATAAATTTCTTATGAATTTTCATCGGCAGCTTTAGATTAATATTTTCATGTCATAACTCACGACAGATATTTATCAGCGATTTAGTGCCTTTACCAACACTTAATTGTAGTGCTTAAAACCTTATCGCGAGCTCGTATGCAGCTACGCTTGTCAGTCGACTGTCAGGCTAACAGACTCTTGGCCCAGACCTTGGTTGAATGTGTTTAATTAAATTGTGATTATATTCATGAATGCTCGCAGCTTATGGCCTTTACAAATTGGCCCCCGAAGGTGGCAGTTGGTCACCTTGGCAAAGGAGCTGGCTGAGTGGCTCAGTGGCTCACAGTCTGGCTGTCTGGCTGACTGGCAACGGACACGTAAAAACCTTATCACAAATGCGTAGAGTGGGTTGGGTCGGTACGCCGGGGCGGTGCCAGAGCCAGCGATAAGCCGTGCACGTCTGCGACATTGTCGCATTTGTCGTCATCAGCTTCGGCTGCGTGGCACGACGGTCGCACACGTACGGCATATAAATAACATTTCGATTTGCCGTATGACAAACCGAGCCAAATGCCACAAATTATGCAGCCAGCTAACACCCTGAATGGGGCCGGCCCACTCCCACGTTGCCCCTTTATCTGTGGCTCTGGCCACAAAGAAAAAGCCACTAACATAAAGCAATGTAAATCGAGGCACTCGACATTGCGCATACGACGCGTGCGCCCGCACGGCACCCACACCCCCACGCACAGCCTTTGCATAGTTTTAAATGCCGTCTAGCCTTTGGCATCGACTTGAATGGAAAAGCAACTAGCGAGCGACTGGTGGAGCCTTTATGAATTCCAATTGAAGTACCCCATTAATGGCCGCAGCTCAGCCAAGGACTATTAACAGTTACCGTGAGCAGCAGCAGCAGCAACAACCAAAAAGGCTTCTCATGAACTCTTCAGAGAACAAGTAGGTACGTTGCAGTCGAGCGTAGCCGACTGCATAATGCTCATTCGAGGAGCATGCGCTATAACATTCATTTTACGATTTTGCGTACTCCCAATTGGTGTATACAGAATTTAGCAGTAATGACTCCGCTTATAGCGTCCGTACGCTTATAGAGACGAACATTCTGACTTTCAGGCAAACTTATATGAGTCAACTTATATAGTTATAGCGTCTTCCGGGAATAACAACGGCTCTGGACTATGCTGTATATATAGCGTTATATAATTATAGCGTAAACAAATAAAAATTTCACTTCAGTTCCCAGCTTCAAAACTATGGAAGATACGGTTTTAGCTGATTGGCCATCTTCCCAATAAGTGTAGATATATCTGTCATATCACTTTGACCTTGTGTTGTCAATACAAGAATACATTGTTAACTTCAACTCTCTAGAGTTACCAGAAAATACATCATCCGATTTGCCATGCCCCTAGTGGGAGGACAGGCTCCAAATTTCATGTCTAGCTTCAACAACGGTGAAATGGTTTGTTTTTAGACGGACAGAAGGACAGATGGACAGGCAAACAGACAGACGACCAGACGACCAGACGACAGATGGATAAACGAACAGAAAAATTGTTGAAAACCAATATACACTATTTATACTCTCCTGAATGAGCATAACGAGTTGAGCTCCTTTGCGGCTTCAATGCCAACAAAAGCTCTTAACGAAGCAAATTGTTGTGACAGCAAAGGCTAAGCAGTACATGCATATAAACATATACATATATAAATCTACATATATATATAGACATGTATATATACATATGTATATGTCATTATAACTGACATGTTATGCAACGGTATCTTGACGTCTTATGCTCATGTTTCTATTCGAATTTCTACCTCTTTTTCGTTTTTTCCTGCATCCAAGTAGGCCTTCCCAATTTTTCGGGCCATATGCCTAGGCATGGAATGTGTTTTCCTCAGTTCAGTTCGAGTCGCCGAGCTCGACACAATATTTCTATTTTTTTATATTATTTCGGAAATTTATTTATTTTACAAAATTTCTAGTGAAAGTTTCTATTCTGTGAAAATTCGGTGAAAATTCCAAATTTTGGTTTGCTGTTCATGAAATAAAACAACATATTTCGGAGGTGAAAAAAAACCTAGATTCGATCGTAAATTGTTCAAAATACTAACTGTGTGTGTGTTTTTTTGTTTTTTTTTTTTTGTTTTTTTTTCTTTGCAGAAAGCTACAATATACCTCTCGACGATGTATAACGATTCGCTTTTTAAACTCTGAGCCTAAATAGTTGTTATACGGCATGCAATATGAATGTCAGGTTCTTTGGTGTATAAATACTTACGCACACTAGCACGGATCCATACGTGCACATATGTATACGAATATAAGAGCAAAGACAAATAATTACACTATTGTTAAATGGGTAAGGCAATTATTATTATTA